ATTGCAAACGATTTTTCCTAAACCACTGTTCACAATAAATTTCTCATAAATTTATATATTTTCTTATAAATTTTCCTATAATTCCTTTCTATTAGAAAACAATTTAATATTCATGTGTTTTTTTCTTCGATAGGAATATGTAATTAATAATTATTTTTTTCCTGCACCATGTAATTATTCAATTATCACCATCAGCAGTTCATCAGTGCTCGTAAATCTATTACTTTGACTTGCATTTGCTGTAGCACCATTTGGTAGTTAAAACGGAAGTAAAACATTTATTAAATAAATACTTTTTATGTGTGTGCGGATTTTACAATATCCTCAAGCGATTGCAATTAGTTGGAAGAGAATGCACTTCTATGTAAATGCGAATGATAGAGTTGAATTTAGAAAGAATAATATTAGTCAAATACATAAGTAATTAAACGCTTTTGCAATCGTTCTATAAACAAATTATTTACACAATTCAATTATTTATAAATTTGCAAAAAAATCTTTGAATTTTTTGCTAATATTTCTTTTCTTGTTACAAATGCGAATACGATTACTTTTACCTGTAACTGTTCAAACTGTGGTTCAAAGAAAAACCATACGTTACTGTGAAGAGTGTTTGTGTGTTTATGTCGACAATCATTGATATGAATGATGATTTTAATGTGATTTTATTTTTTCTGCCCTATTTCCCCATGTGTCTTATTTTATTTCTTTTTTTGCTTTTTCATGCCTCCGTATTATATTGAGTGGCATACATCATTTTGTTTTAAAACTGTCCTCATATATGTCGCAACAAGTTCAGCTCGATATGTGGCATATGTTTTATATTTTTATGTCCGAAAGATGGCTGTATTTTGGTTTTGTCATTCCGTGTGTAACATAACGAAATATAAGTCGTAGACCCAGAATCCATTCCATACGCTTATTAGATTCTATGAAGAAATAGCCATTAGGGCCTAAATGGGATCAGTAATTTGCTTACAACAACAGGCGCACAATAGCTCGTATAGTGGTCTAGGAGTATTTCTTTGAATTTGATGTACTACACATCCTCTTATCAACCTAACCCATGCAGTTTGCTTGGTGAAGACAGTTTTTCGTCAATAAATTGTTCAAAAATTATGGAATTAATCACTCTCTCAAAATCTGAAGAGTTCAGTCCATAATTGCTAAAATCCTTTTTCCGAAAATTTCCGAAATATTTTTGATAGTGGCTATATAAGATTCGGCGTAGAGGAATATAATACTACTAAGTATTTCTTTAGTTTTTTTCCTTTCGCATCCTGTAACTGAAGTTTTGCTTTATTTTCTATATGTATTGTAAATGACATTGTAGAAGAGCATAGAAAAGCATACAAACACATGCAATTACACATACACATATATACTAACACTCTCTCCAGCTCTGGTCCTTAAACTACACACTATTACACTTGTAAGTACTTGCAGCAAATGTGTTTACTTAAGTTTTTGTAAAAAAATACACTCATACATACGTTCTAAAAACAACAAGGACTAAATCCTGGTGTTATTACTAAAAAACGAAATGCAACATGTTTATATGAGTTGTATTTTATTATTTCTTTATGATGTATATATGTATGAGTTGTTTTTATACCCTACACCACTTTAGTGGGGAGGGTATATTGAATTTGTGCTGATTTGTGCGAAAAGGGCTTCTATCGATAAAATACGGCACAACTAAGTTTTATAGAAGTCTTGATGACCCTGCCAAATTTCATAAAGATCGGGCCCCATTTGACCCTAGCTCCCATACAAAGTCCCCTTCAGAAAATTACTTGAATGTCCCAAATTAACTTATAAACACAAATATCGCGATGAAATTCAGCACAATAAAATATTATGTAAATATAAATATATTCACAAAATTTTATCGTTCTTGGTCCATATTTGCCCCTAGCCCCCATATAAAGCCTCTTTCAGAAAATTAGTTTTTCATCCATAAATTGCTTAAATGTATCGGAACAAGGGAATATTGAAGATAAATGCTTTATTATGAAAAATAAATCACATTTAATATTCATAACTGGTGTAGGGTATCATATGGTCGGCCACGCCCGACTATACTTTCTTACATGTTTGTACTAGTATTCATGTATGTATGCATTCGATTCTTTTCATTGTTTCTTTCCCAAACTTCACATTCTATTAAAAAATAAATCTTATGTCTTTAGAGGTTCATGTGTTATGACAAGCCAAAATATATAAACAAAAAATTGGAAAAAATCTTGGAACCAGGAAAAAATATCATATAAATTTATTTATTTTTTTCTCGTTTTCTATTTTTATTTTATTTTGAAAAATTGTGTAGCTTTAGCAAACATTATGACAACAATGATGCTGTTACTGCTATTGCAGATGATAATTTTTGTTGATAACAATGTTGTTGTCTATAGTTGGCTGTTTGCTGGTGGAAAGGTAAGTGCCCTTTAGGCTCTCTTTTTGTTGTAACGAGACAAGGTCTTGTAAAATAAAGTAAAATATATAGAGCGAAAAAATAACATATTATTTATAATTTGAAAATAATAAACAAAGTTTCCACTTACCTCTTATGCTGCTTTAGAAGAAAAATATTATTTCATATTTTCACGAAAAGAATCAATTAAGGTTAAAAAAAATAACTGATAAACGTTCTTGAGAATGAAATTCTTCCTATTAATGCTTTATTTTGAATGATATTTTAAGCAAAAAAATAATTTTCCAAAAAAAACCTAATAAATTAACTTCTACCTTTTATATATATATATAGAAAAAATTATAAACAAAATTAAATGTATTATTCTAAATCATTAGTTTAATAAGCGTGAATAATAAATAAATAAGTAATATAAAAACATAAATAAACAGTTTCATGTTTATCATGATAATTGCGTGTTTACATTTATACTTAAAGAATCTAAACTTCCTTTAGTCATTTGGGACCTTCCAAGTAATGGAGCCCAATCCATCCTTAAACAACTAAACCACTACATCTATTTAGTTGTTATACATCTATTTAGTTGTCAACATGCAAAACTTAGTATTAAAACTATTTATAAAATTAAACTTTAAGTTTTCTTTTAAACTTCCATTTGACTTTAAAAAATATGTGTTTAATTAACCTTATTATCAAGAGACCTTGTTAATGTGAAAATAATCCAAATACAAAATCCTTTAGTTTACACTTTTTAAAACAAACATTAAATCTTGAACTGGTCTTGCTGCCATTAACCCAATCTAAACTCATCAATCATAATGTTTGTTTGTTTAATCCTTTTATTTAATATTCATATTCAGATAAATTGAATATATTCTTGGTTGACTGACATCAAGGTCAATGTAGTATCCTTTTTTGTGTTTATATGTATAATTGACATCAATGAAGATTAAAACAAATACATGATACACACAGTAACATTTACGGTTGTAAACCCATTTACATATAAATAGACAAACTGGCAGACAGACACTATTTGTTATATATTGTTATTGCTGTTGAGAACAACATGATAACATCCTTGAAAGGAGGTTGGTAAGTAATTTTGTATGTGTTGGTGATTCAGAAGTGCTAAACTTAAATTAACTCAAGTTATATCACGTTTTCTTTTTTCGTGTCCTTTTTTTGCTGATGTTGTTTATATTTCCCATATAACACACTTAGAGAAAAAATGCTTAAATGGCAATTAAATAGAATAGTTCTAGTTCAGTTCTAGTTCAGTTCTAGTTCAGTTCTAGTTCAGTTCTAGTTCAGTTCTAGTTCAGTTCTAGTTCAGTTCTAGTTCAGTTCTAGTTCAGTTCTAGTTCAGTTCTAGTTCAGTTCTAGTTCAGTTCTAGTTCAGTTCTAGTTCAGTTCTAGTTCAGTTCTAGTTCAGTTCTAGTTCAGTTCTAGTTCAGTTCTAGTTCAGTTCTAGTTCAGTTCTAGTTCAGTTCTAGTTCAGTCCTAGTTCAGTTCTAGTTCAGTACTAGTTCAGCTCATGAAAACTTTTCTCTAAGTGAATTTTGTTTTTCATATGAATTTAAGAGAATATGTATTACTGTAGTTACATACGTATTGAAGTTGTTGTTGTCGTTCTTGGCAGCAGACAACATAGCACCTTTATTATATTTGTTTTAGCGTACGTGTACCGTTCGTAGAGTTCGCCAGATGACATGTCAGAAGAAATTGTTTTTATCCCTTGAAACAGGGTTAATTTTGTTACTGGTGAAAAAAAAATCAACAACAACCATACACTTGTCTGCTGAAGTTCAAGTAGTTGTGACAGTGGTGAAAAAGGAGTAAGAGTTGGTGACTCGTAGACATGCTGATATCGCTCAAGCGACTTAAATGTAAATTATTATTTAAATAAGAGTGAATGTAAAGAACTGTGTATAGCAGTGCTAAAAGGCGCACGTAACATTTGACAAAACTTGAGGCCTTTAACTGTCAGCATGGCGTTAATAAAATGGATAAATGAAGGAAAAATATTGAAAGCCGCCGCAGGACACCATGACAAAATAATACAGTTATGTTAAAGCCAGCATGAAAAACGACAACAACAATGGCATTAACATCAAAAACTGTAACAATAACAGTAGCTTCATAATCTATATTAGGGATGTAACGAATGCTCGCATTCGCATATGCGAATGCGAATAATTCGCTTCATTTTTTACATTCGCATTTGCTTTCGCATTCGCTAAAATTAAGCGAATAATTCGATTCATTAAAAAAAATAAAAAAAAATCTGGCAACGTTTTTTTTTGCGAAAATAAATTAAAAGAAACGTCAAAAACAAGTAAACATCAAATACGTTTTTTTACGGTTAATGTTTGCTGTTTATTGAAAAGCGTGAAAAGTATTTAAAATGAAGCCAAAATCAAGCAGTGTTTGGAAATATTTTACAATTTTAGGAAAAGAAAAAGCCAAATGTACAATTTGTGAAAAAATATTATCCCGTAAGGGTCGGTGCACAAGTGGCTTGATTATTCATTTAAAACACAAACACAATGAGGAGTACAAAAAAATGGAAGAAACCAAATGTGAAAAAAGAGCCTTAACATCAATGCCAACAACTTCTCTGCAAGCCGCAAAAAGACAATTAACAATAAATGAATCTTTAAGGGGTAAAGTTATGTGGGACGTGTGCAACCCGAGATCAAAGGAAATAGATAAATTAATTGGAGAGATGGTTGCTTTGCAAGATCTTCCGTTTAATTTTGTAGAAGGAATCGGTTTCAGGCGTTTAATGGAGTCAGTATTACCCCGCTATGTTTTGAGGGGACGGCAATACTTTACGGAATACGTTTGTGAAACAATGTATGCAGAAATCAAGAACCAAATTGTTCAGTTATTAAAAACATTTAACAAACTTTCTTTTACCACTGACATTTGGTCGGAACCCAGTGCTGGGGTTTCTCTTTTAAGTTTGACAGCACATGGTATATCATTGGAGTTCCAAAGAGTAAATATTGTACTCAGGTGTGAAAGCATCGAAGGCAGTCATACTGGCGATGTTATAAAATCAACTATACTTTCAATGATAAATGAATGGCAAATTTCTGATAAAGTACACTGCGTTGTCCATGATAAAGGGTCTAATATGATTAGAGCAATGAATCTTACTAACTTTTTGCACATAAACTGTTCCGTACATCAGCTTCAACTTTGTATTAAAAATGCTTTAAACTTAAAAGAAATTCAAGGGCTTATTGCGACTAACAGGAAACTAGTCTCACATTTCAATCACTCACTTTTGGCAAAGGAAAAGCTGAGTAATATACAAAAAAACAAGCTGAACCAAAAACCTCTTGGTGTAATACAGGATTGTCCAACCAGGTAAATGTGTCATAAGTTACCGACAATAAACGGCTTCGATTTAAAAGTTTTTTTGTGTTAAAAATTGGAGCCGTTTAGAGTCGTTAAGGAGTCCCCATAAAATAAATCAAATTTATGTTTTTGTAGATGGAATAGTACATATTATATGATGGAAAGATTATTGAAAATTAAAGACTCAATAATATTGTATCTTAACAACTACGAGCAACTTTCCATAACTCTCGATGATTGGAAAATAATGGAAAAATGTGTAAACATCTTAAAACCTTTTGAGGAGGTTACTCGAGAACTTAGCAGTTCAACTATTTCGATTTCGTCGGTTATACCATTAATACACATTCTCACATCTAAATTAAATAAAGAAAAATCATTGGAAAGCGGTCCACCTTATGTAGCCAAAATAATTGAAACGCTTATGTATGAGCTGAATTTCAGATTTTCAGATTTAAGACAAACACCAATATTTTCAATATCAACATATTTGGATCCAAGATACAAACTAAAGTTTTTTGGCGAGGATGATAAAAATAAGATTCGCTCTGAACTTGTAAAATTAATACATCAAAATTATTCCGATGTTGAAGTGTGCAATTCTTCAACAAAAATAACAGAGAAAACTACTTTAATAGCTAATGACAACGACGCAGGTCCCCATAACGCTTCATCACAAATACAAGCTGATATAGAAATGTTTTTAAATGAAGACAGCAGTGATATTGAATACGAAGTGGATGAAATATTAACAGTTTCTGAAATAAACGAGGTATTAAAAGAATATGATAAGGAACGAAAAGTTCACATTTCCCAAGACCCACTACTATGGTGGAAAAAAAACTGTTTAAAATATAAAATTTTAGTTCCGGTAGTACGTCAGTTTCTATCCACTCCCCCCGGAAGTGTTCCTAGTGAACAATTATTTAGTGGAGCTGGATTAATATATGATACTCGACGCTTCAATCTTAAAAGTGACAAAGCAGCAAAACTTTTATTTATAAAATATAATTTGGCTCAATTAAATTTTGAATATTAAAGGGTTTGTTTTAAATAATAGTATATTTATCATTAAACAGTTTAGTTGCTGATATATTTTTTTAAATCTAAATAAAATATTAACACCCTTATTCATAAACAACATTTTATTTTATAAAAGGTTTATAAAACAAAATTTTGATTTATAAACTGTTTATAAAATATTTTTTATGAATAAGGCCTTTAGTATACTTGGAATAAGCAGCCAAAATCAGTAATGAAACATGAATTATCTAGTCGTATTACTAGTAAGTGGAAATTAATTAATTTCAATTAAAATAACTTATGTTTTTAACTAAAATATTTTTAATTTTTTTTTTGTATTTTATTAACGATTTTTTGTGTAAATTTAGTTTGTAATATTGAATTCAAATAAAAACAAACATAACTTTTTTGCAAAATTTGAATTAAAAATTTCTCTTAGGTAATAATTTCGGTATATATTCGCATTCGCTTTCGCTTTCGCATTCGCTTTCGCATTCGCATTCGCAAAATTTTAAAATTACTATTCGCTTTCGCATTCGCATTCGCTAAACTAGCATTCGCAACATCCCTAATCTATATGTTTCTGTCTGCGAAAGGTCAAAAGTACTGAAACATTTTGATGTGAAGATGATGTTGATGAAAGTAACTGTAGCATACTTTGTATACATAATAATAAAACGTGATGTGGTATAAAACTTAATAAAATGTAAAGGCATAAATCCTAAACGTCTTTTATTTTCTTTTTTTGTCAAAGTAGACACCAAAATAATTTTCTGTTTTTTTTCACCACTTTTGGCGTTTTTTTAGTGGGCAGAGTTGAACATTTTCAAGCCCTAAATCCATGGGGAGAAAATTCTTTTTAAGCTGCTAAAAATCAACATTACCGGCATTTTGGGTTTTGCAATGAAATTGATTTATTAACAACTTTAAAAAAATCTTAATATGAAAAGCAACGAAGAAAAAAACGAATTTATTTTTCTAATTCATTTGTCAAGGCTTTTGTGGTATCAAAGAAAAAAATTAACAATATTGTGTTACCAATAAAAATTTTTTTTATTGTGTGAATATTCCTTAAAAGGGGATTTAACTTTTGTATTCAAAATTTTGTAATTCTCTTTGTTATTATAAGAACATGGAGTGTGTCATCGGACAGTGGAGGCGAAGGCTATACAATGTTAAAATCGTTCCATTATTTCATTTACCTCGAATTTATTATGTTATTTTTCTCGAAAAACTGATTTTCGATTTAGGCTAGTATTACTTATAAGCGAAGAAAAAATGTGTATGAAAATATAGAAAATATACAAATATTGTTGCCATGTTCTTATGGCTAAATATGTGAGTAAATATTTCCGTTACCCGTTTTTGTAAGACATTGTAAAATAAACCAGAAGCTGAAACAGTTAACATTTGTTTGCCAAAAATATTCCACCAACTCCTGATTTCTTTCTGTTGTTCTTGGCTTTTTTACATTTTTTTATTTGGTGGTTGTGAGATCGTAACTTCAAATTGATTTATTTCATTTTTTATATTACTTGAGCCATCATTGGAGGTTTCTATGATTAATGTGTTGTTTGTATTAGTCTTTGATATTGGACGCCACTACGCTATGGGGCAAGAGTGTATTTATGTATGTTTGTATTGGGTTACCTTTCTATACATGTATGTATGTGTTGGTCGTAATTGCACTTTTTGAAAAAGATTACCAGTGTACAGCAAATGCAAGATATGTTTGGGAATAGTGAAAATTATTTTCTCAAGTGAACGCAATTGTAAAGCTCGGAAGTCATAATTTTCATAAACAAATCAATTTTTGAAAAAAAAAAAAAAAAAAAAAAAAAAACAATTAAAGATATCACAGATATTTATTATTTGATATCAATAAGACACTTACTGAGGAATTTTTATATAAATTCTAAATCTGTTTAAAAACTTCAATCTTCTTTTAAATTTTATTAACATTTTAAATATATTCCCATCAATTTTTTAGAAAAAATCGTTAAAATAAAAGCCACAACTACAAAAGCCGTCACTCTTAGGATGTTTGTTATAATGGAGATTTGGTGTTCCACTCGATAGATTTTGATTTATGACCATTACATTGTACTAAATTACAAATATACCAAAAAGAATCGTAAAGATAAGTTTTCAGTCAAATAAAGCTGCAATGAAAAAAACCTAAATTCTTCAATAAATTGTATATATAGAAACTATAAGGTTTATAGCAATACAAAGTGGATTGAGGGGGAATAGGGAAACTAAAATAACAGGAAGTAAGCTTACACTCTGTTAAACTTCAGTTAAGGTTAAATGAAATATGTGTATGTGAGAAAATTCTGTTCAAATGGACATAAACATTGTAACAAAGAAACAATTCACATATTTATTCAGCCACTTATTCTTTCATTCATTCTTTCATTTATTCACTCATCCATATATTCATTCAAAAATCCCTTCATCAACTCACTCAGTAATGCCACTAATGTTAATGGTTTTCACTTTCTAAGTCTCGGTTTATCCAGTTTTTTTTTTACTTCTCTACCCAATATTTATTACCAAAAACCTTAATTTTTTCCCCCCTTGGGGTTCACATTTACATACTTTTTGTACTGCATTTCAAGTGTTTAGTGTTACACACATGAATTTGTTTCAATGTTATAAAATTGCTATTGTTTTAATTCCACTGATTGCTAGTCTTTTGCATATTTCTATTTTTGTGTTTTGGAGGGTTTAAAAAAGTACTTAGAAAATAACTAAAATAAAGAGAATGACGCTTAAACCAAAAAGGAAATAATGTTCTTAGTTACTTTGAAAATTACAAGAGTGAAAAATACAATAAAGTAAAAGCACATGGAGTATGGAAATGCTCACTGCAAGAGTTTTTATAATATGTACTGCAAACCATTACTCACTGGCAAAATGTTTTTTATTAACACTATAACTCGACGAACAGGACTGTGCATATAGCTAGAGTACACTGAAAAATTTTCAATATTTCCAAATTATATAAAATCTTATGGAAGATTTGTTTCGCGAATACGATTTTTTTCAGTTTAATTGTTAAATATGAAATGCAAAATTAAAGTAACATTTTTTAAAGTGTCCTTCTACTATGCAAAAAAATGTGTCTGTGCACACTTACTTTGATAGCAATCACACTTACAGTGCTACACATTTTCTTAAACCAAACATCGGATGCAGAAGCAGTCAAACGGAATATAATTTGAAATTTGTTAAGAAATAAAAAACTAAAGCACCAACAAACGAAATGAAATACAAAATATTCAAAGCTGCGTTATAAGTTTTATTTTGCTTTTCAACATAAAGTAGGCAGCTAGAGGTGGTAAATGACAGAGTTTGTTCTTCTTTTTTTTGTGCAACATAAACTATATTGAGTAGCCTCTAGTAGTAGAACAGCGGAAAAACTGAGAGCAATGAATAAAATACACACTACTTACTACCACAGCTATAACAATTTACAGAAATATTTAGTATAGTGCTGGTGGTTTCTGTGGCAGGACGACGGCAACAGCGGTGATAGTTGAAATAAAACAAAATGACAAAACGGAAATTAACCCTCGGTTGTTTATTCGTGCATACGTTTTTGTTGGCTGCATACTATCACTAGAGGCAATGTGTAAATTGTGGCCGTTACTAATGCAAAATTTTGGTTGTTTGTAGTGCAAAGTTGCCTTATCATAAATAGTATACAAGTGGTTATATATACATATTTTTTTAAACAGGTTTAAGTGTGTGCTTGAGTGCGGTTTGGTTGGAGTCATGATGAGCAATATAATACGTATTAAAGGATAAATAGCAGGAGTTTAAACATACAACGTGCAACGATAAGAACTGCAAAAAGATAGTGGACTACATACACAAGACTATAGACTAGACTATAGACAAGACTATAGACTAGACTATAGACTAGACTATAGACTAGACTATAGACTAGACTATAGACTAGACTATAGACTAGACTATAGACTAGACTATAGACTAGACTATAGACTGGACTATAGACTAGACTATAGACTAGACTATAGACTAGACTATAGACTAGACTATAGACTAGACTATAGACTAGACTATAGACTAGACTATAGACTAGACTATAGACTAGACTATAGACTAGACTATAGACTAGACTATAGACTAGACTATAGACTAGACTATAGACTAGACTATAGACTAGACTATAGACTAGACTATAGACTAGACTAAAGACTAGACTATAGACTAGACTATAGACTAGACTATAGACTAGACTATAGACTAGACTATAGACTAGACTATAGACTAGACTATAGACTAGACTATAGACTAGACTATAGACTAGACTATAGACTAGACTATAGACTAGACTATAGACTAGACTATAGACTAGACTATAGACTAGACTATAGACTAGACTATAGACTAGACTATAGACTAGACTATAGACTAGACTATAGACTAGACTATAGACTAGACTATAGACTAGACTATAGACTAGACTATAGACTAGACTATAGACTAGACTATAGACTAGACTATAGACTAGACTATAGACTAGACTATAGACTAGACTATAGACTAGACTATAGACTAGACTATAGACTAGACTATAGATTAGACTATAGATTAGACTATAGACTAGACTATAGACTAGACTATAGACTAGACTATAGACTAGACTATAGAATAGACTATAGACTAGACTATAGACTAGACTATAGACTAGACTATAGACTAGACTATAGACTAGACTATAGACTAGACTATAGACTAGACTATAGACTAGACTATAGACTAGACTATAGACTAGACTATAGACTAGACTATAGACTAGACTATAGACTAGACTATAGACTAGACTATAGACTAGACTATAGACTAGACTATAGACTAGACTATAGACTAGACTATAGACTAGACTATAGACTAGACTATAGACTAGACTATAGACTAGACTATAGACTAGACTATAGACTACACTATAGACTAGACTATAGACTAGACTATAGACTAGACTATAGACTAGACTATAGACTAGACTATAGACTAGACTATAGACTAGACTATAGACTAGACTATAGACTAGACTATAACTAGACTATAGACTAGACTATAGACTAGACTATAGACTAGACTATAGACTAGACTATAGACTAGACTATAGACTAGACTATAGACTAGACTATAGACTAGACTATAGACTAGACTATAGACTAGACTATAGACTAGACTATAGACTAGACTATAGACTAGACTATAGACTAGACTAAGACTAGACTAGACTATGGACTTATAGACTAGACTATAGACTAGACTATAGACTAGACTATAGACTAGACTATAGACTAGCTATAGACTAGACTATAGACAGACTACCAGACTAGACTATAGACTAGACTATAGACTAGACTAGACTAGACTAAGACTAGACTATAGACTAGACTATAGACTAGACTATAGACTAGACTATAGACTATACTATAGACTAGACTATAAGACTAGACTATCTAGACTAGACTATAGACTAGACTATAGACTAGACTATAGACTAGACTATAGACTAGACTATAGACTAGACTATAGACTAGACTATAGACTAGACTATAGACTAGCTATAGACTAACTATAGTACTAGACTATAGACTAATACTATAGACTAGACTAGAGACTAACTAGACTAGACTATACTACTGAGCAAATTATAAAATAAAATTGGGTCTATACTATTTTCTGGACTCTTAACTAGACAATAGACCTGACTCTGAATATACTTTAGACTAGAATACTTACATACCTTCACTGTAGATTACTCTATGGTCTTAACTTTAGTTAAGACGATGGTCCAGCTCAGTTTTGTCTTGATTCAATTCAACAGATGTCATATTTCTTTCCTATTTTTGAAAAAAAAATCATTCAATTGAATTCTTTTTTAAAATGAGAAATTAAATCTACAACATTTTTTGTAATACTTTTTCTTGCTACAAGTTCGTGTTTCATTTGTATTTCTCTTTCGCAAGTTTTGCGCAATAAGAACTGAAATCTTTTTTCGCTGCCTTATATGCTTGAAATTGTTGGAAAAAAGGAAAAAGTTGTTGGAGGGCACCTTTTGGCAATTCTACAATTTTTACTAGAGTTGATAGTAATATACCTCACTAGTAAACGAAATGCTTCCTTTATATGTAACTTTCTTATTTTTTTACTTTGTATCCCCCAGTTTCAATATTTATTTCGTTTTCTGTGCGATTTTTTGTTTAATTTGTAGCCTTTTGTGAGGAATATATAGTGGAGTAAAAAATTGGATTACTAACATATGAATTAACTAAAGGACACAGATGATTGGATTTTATTTTTCTACAAAATAAAATTTAAATAATAACTTTCCTTTGATTCGTAGTTGTTGGGTTTCTGCATAAAAATTATGATTTAAAATATACATATATGGAAAGGAATTCTTTTTTTATATATCTTGAAAAAAAAATAATTTGTTAAAAATCCCCAATATTTTGTTCGTTTTTATCAAGGCTTTCTTCATTTATTTTACAATTAAGTAAAAATAACACAGACAGGCTTAAACATAGTCAGATATGTTTCATCATGTTTCATGTGTTAACATAAAATAAAGTTACATTTTATTAACGATTCACAATATCTGGTTGTGAATGCAACTAACTACCTTTTAAGTGAGTTAAAACCATGTCGTATGAGTGATATTTAATTTTTAATTGATTAAAAATAAAGTATACATTTTTGCAATGAAATTATTTACTTTAATTTAAAATATAAAATAAATAAACAAAACTATAATTTTACTTTTATTTACAGTTTAACGAATTTATTTTAATTTACTTCTAGTTTTTAAATATTAAACTTTCTCTTATTTTAATTAATTGCACCGATTTTCGCCTTCAGTTTAAGGCTGTAAAGTGAGGAGTGAAGTTGTTTGGTGTTAGGAAATATGTTTGTGAACAAGGGAGAAAGTATATATAATTTAATTCAATGTTTAGTTTTGGTTTTAAGTTCTCTCTAGGCTTGTAGAAACGTCCTTGGTATCACGTAATTTATTTTTCATTAATTTAATGAGCTAAATATAAATAACTTCCTCATTCTCAGATAGCATATTTCCAGGTATTGCTATTTATTAGCATTAGTTGTTGTTATTTTTAAACTAATGATTAATATACATAATACAACATATATGTATGTATGTTCTTTGTATCTGTATATTGTGATGCAGTTTTTGTTTCCATCCGGGGTATGCCTAGTCTGTCCAGGTTCTTCAAAGGTCTGCTTCCTTTGACGTTTGATATACCACAGAGCTGCCTAGTATCTTCGGGAATGAATGGGTCTGGTACAATTCTTCACGGAGAGGTCGAAATCAATACTTCGGTTAAGAAGGCGATCTCGTCGGGTAGATATAACTATGAGTAGCTAGGGAATACAGTCGGTCGAGATAAGTGCTCTGGCTCTCGGTCGACTAACGACTATTGTTAATGATGAAATCCGATGAGGTAAATGCGTTGGCTCTCAATCGGCTAACTACTAATTACGATCCGACGAGATAAATGCTTCGGCTCTCGGTCGGCGAACGACTATTGATAGTATAATGAGACTACGGATGCAATCCGAGGAGATAAATTCTTCGGCTCTCGTCGGCTAACTACGACTAGTTAAGGAATACAATCCGGCGAGATAAATGCTTCGGCTCTCGGTCGGCTAAATATAATGAGACTACGGATGCAATCCGAGGAGATAAATTCTTCGGCTCTCGTCGGCTAACTACGACTAGTTAAGGAATACAATCCGGCGAGATAAATGCTTCGGCTCTCGGTCGGCTAACGACTATGGATAATATAATGAGACTACGGATGCAATCCGAGGAGATAAATTCTTCGGCTCTCGTCGGCTAACTACGACTAGTTAAGGAATACAATCCGGCGAGATAAATGCTTCGGCTCTCGGTCGGCCAACTACGACTGTTTATAGTATAATGAGACTACGGATGCAATCCGAGGAGATAAATTCTTCGGCTCTCGTCGGCTAACTACGACTAGTTAAGGAATACAATCCGGCGAGATAAATGCTTCGGCTCTCGGTCGGCTAACTACGACTGTTTATAGTATAATGAGACTACGGATGCAATCCGAGGAGATAAATTCTTCGGCTCTCGTCGGCTAACTACGACTAGTTAAGGAATACAATCCGGCGAGATAAATGCTTCGGCTCTCGGTCGGCTAACTACGACTGTTTATAGTATAATGAGACTACGGATGCAATCCGAGGAGATAAATTCTTCGGCTCTCGTCGGCTAACTACGGCTAGCTAAGAAATACAATCCGACGAGATAAATGCTTCGGCTCTCGGTCGGCTAACTACGACTAAATACGGACTATAATCCGACGAGATAAATGCTTCGGCTCTCGGTCGGCTAACTACTGGTTACGGTATGAAGTAAGAACTTTGGTACCACGGTTCTTGCTTGCTTTACTCCTTAATTCTCCAATCTCTTATATGAAAACTCACATAAACTATTTGCGACTTATAACACATTACGTTTAGTAAATAGTTAATTCTGCCAATAATAGTAGTAGTAGTAGTAGTGATAATGTAGAAGAGATATTGATAGTAGAAGAATGTATAGTAAATTATGATTTGTAACTGCACGTTACATTCCCCCCTTACTTTAAAAAAAAAAATAATAAAAAAAACATTTTTGCATTATGCGAGTTTCGATCTTACGATCTGCACTACCCGAAGGTAACATTTACCAAAATCCTGTGGATTTTGGCTCGGACTTAAATGCGTTGTTTTTTTTTCTTTTTCTTTTTTTTTTTTTAGTTATATATACATTTTTTTTACAAATTTATTCCGCCAGCGAAAACTCCTTCACCCTTCCTAAACATCTTAATGTCACTTTTCTATTCCTAACAATCACTTGAACTTTTGGCCTGCCAGGTGGAAAGATGTACCACATTTTTCGTTTTACACCAGGGTCTTTTATTATGATTCCATGGAACAGGTCCTCCTGTGGTTGAAACGGTTCTTCTAATAACTTCTCTAGTTCTTCGGCAGGCGAAGACAACTCCAAGACATCGTTTTTAAGGTCCTCTTCGGCTTGGTTCACTTCTTCTGCCCAGCTCAATTTGTGTTCCTCCGTCGGCTGTGTTTCCTTCTCTAAAGGAGGGTTTTCTATGATCCCACTGGTTAAGGAGAACAGCGGGGGTACTTGTACCTGAGGAGTTGACCTGACAACCTGAGGTTCCCTATTGGACAATGGAGCCAGCGGGGGCGGTGAGGACGTAGTGCGTCGGTTTTCCCAAAATGTCCGGGCATAGGTATCGGCCTCGGTGTCTCCAGATTTTGCCAGTGGAGCAGTGCTAACCTTGGTGACCTTAGCCCCTGACATGTGTTTTACCCTGGCCTCAAAAGGGGGAATGAACTCCTTTATTTTCTCCGGCATCCTTGTCTCCCTAAGGTATTTCTTAATTTTACCTGGAGGTATTGGTTTTGTTAGCTTCCTATCCATTGTCAGACTGATCGAATTAAATTTTTTGGCGGCTATTTATAGTCTCACGACAGGGTGAAGAGTTATATTTTATTTTAATTACTTCGTTCATGCACAGGCTTTACGTCCTGTATATGCACGTTCTGTCGTTTTTTCCCCATTTGAACTATTAAAATGTTGTTGGTGGCTTTCCCGACAATTTTATGAGGGCCGCTAAACTTCGGGGCCAGTTTTGCTGCGAAGTGGTCCACAGCCGAAGAAAGGTGATGATTCCGACAGTATATTTGGTCGCCAATCTTCGGAAACCATTCACGGCGTCGTAGATCGTAGTAGTGTTTTTGCTTACTAGAAGCTTCGGCAGATGTTTCGGCTATCTTAAGCCACTCTTTCTCGCTAATCGTCTTCTGAGGTATCTCGTATGGAACGTTACCTTCCCTCCGAACCTGCCGGGGCGCCACAAGATTCCGACCGAAAAGAATCTCAGCAGCCGACTGCTTTGTCGTTTCATGTTTGGCTGTGTTGATAGCAAAGGCTATTTCGGCCAAGTGATGGTCCCACAAACGGTGGTTTTCGCCAATGTATTGGGCTATCATTGTTTTCACAACCCGATTAACTCGTTCAGTTGGGTTTTCCTGGGGGGTGTAGGGTGCGGTGAACCTATGTTCTACGCCTATTTCTTTGAGGAAATCATTCATGACTTTTCCGGCAAACTGACTTCCATTGTCAGATATTAATAACTGAGGACATCCAAACCTATAAATTACCCGTTCCTTTAATGCTGATACGACAGCACTTGCGGTGGCTGTTCTCACGGGTATAAGCTCCACCCACTTGCTAAATTTATCCGTAATAACCAACAACCAACCATTCCCTTTTAATGATCTAGGTAGCGGTCCAATGAAATCGGCACATACGACTTCCCAGGGTCTGGAAGTGTTTAAAGTGCACATTAATCCTGCCTTCCGCGACTGTTCCACCTTATACAGTCCGCATGTCGTACATGACCGCACATACTTCCTGATATCTCGTGCCATGCCAGGCCAATAGTAACTCTGTTGTGCCCGCCTTGTAGTCTTATACACCCCTTGGTGTCCTGCAGCTGCATCATCATGAGTTTCCTTTAAAACATGTTCCTTTCGATTATCGGGTACACAAAGCTTCCATTGGGGATATTCGGCTATAATGCCTTTACGAGGAATATGCCTGAATAACCTTCCCTCTATGATTTGGAAATCGGGATATTTATCGCCATGTTTCTGTACCTCCATTAGCTTTCTTTCATACCACGAAGGTTTTGTGTCAGTTATAGCAGCTAGTGAAGGCAATTTATCTTTTTCCGGTATTGGGCTTCGTGATAAGGCATCGGCTACCACATTTAGCTTTCCTCGTCGATACTCAATTTGGAAATCGTATTGCTGCAATTCCAGTGACCACCTTGCCAAACGTCCCGATGGATTTTGCAGTGAGTGTAACCACTTTAAAGAATGGTGATCAGTGATAACCGTGAAATGGTATCCTTCTAAGTACGGACGCATTTTCCTGATTCCCCACAGGACTGCTAGACACTCCTGCTCAGTTGCCGAGTATTTGCGTTCGACTTCATTTAACGTTCGGCTAGCATATGCGATCACACTTTCCTCTTCATTCCTGCGCTGAAAGAGCACTGCTCCTAAACCCTCGCCACTGGCATCAGTTTGAAGAAAAAACGGTTGCTCAAAATCGGGACAACGGAGAATAGGAGCCTCCGTAAGTTTTTCCTTAAGTGAGTTAAAAGCGATTTCCTGATCGGTACCCCATTGCCATGGTATTTTTTTCTTTAACAGACGAGTCATAGGCTCTACTAACGACGAGAAATCCGGAACGAAACGTCGATACCAGGATGCTACTCCAAGGACTCTGCGAAGCTCTCTGATTGTCTTTGGTGCTGCCATCTCTTTTATAGCTTCAATTTTTGCGGGGTCTGTGTGGATGCCCTCGGAACAAACTACGTGTCCTAAATATTTAAGACTCGTTTGAACGAAATCACTTTTCTCGAAATTTATTTGTAGATTGGCATTCAACAGCCGATTAAAAACGGTAGTTAAGTTAGCTATGTGTTCCTCAAATGAACGACCAAGCACGATAATGTCGTCCAAGTAGGCAAACACTCGAGGACTTAATTCGGGTCCGATAATAGAGTCTAATATTCTCTGAAAGGTTGCGGGAGCCGAGTGGAGGCCGAAGGGCATCACCTTCCACTGAAATAAACCACGACCGGGTACCGTAAAAGCCGTATATTGTCTGCTTCTTGGGTCCAGTGGAATCTGCCAATACCCATTTTTAAGGTCTATTGTCGAAATATATTTTGCTTCTCTGAGCTGATCCAGGATGGCGTTTATCTGGGGTAAAGGGTATGCGTCGGGTTCTGCAGCTGCATTTATCTGACGAAAATCAATACACATGCGCCATGTACCTTGTTTTTTACGTACTAGAACGACGGGCGAGCTATAAGGACTGAATGATGGTTCAATTCGGTCCATACGTAGTAATTCATCTACTTCTTGGTTCATGATCGTCTGCATCGCTGGATTTCGAGGATAATACCTCTGCTTTATGGGGCGATCATGTTTCATGGTGATTGTATGACACCCAGCATTGCAGGGTCCTTGTATGTCATTGAACGCCTTCTTTATATTAGTGAGTAGAGATTCTAACTCACTTTCCTGGTGTTGGGATAAGAAGCTGCGGTTTACTACGGCATGAAGTGGTGGAGGGGACAAGTTTCTACACCTTGGCTCTGAAACATTTAGCCGTACCCCGTCGACACATAGCTCAACTTGTCGCCGCCGTAGGAAATCCATTCCTAGGATGACTGGTTCAGCTAAGTTAGCTAAGGCCGATGCTAGTAAGCGTGTGGACTGTCCATTAAACGTGACATTTATGGGATAAACTTTTACTCCCTCAATGCAAGTTCCATCCGCTAACTGTACCGATCTGTGCTGAATTCGTGGCCGAACGTGATTCCTCTCTAGATGCTGACGAACCTTTTCCCCTAGGTATGTCAGGGTAGAGCCGGTATCTACTAAAGCGCGAATTGGTAGATCGTTTACCACTATCATTAAATAGTAACGTCCATCACCTCTTATGTCTTGTTTTGACACCCTGCAAGGACAGTCCCGGGATAATATTCCATCATTCCCGCAGCGAGAACAGAACAGTCGTCGGTTGTTGGTGCACTGTACTCTAAAATGTCCTTGTTCTTTACACCTAAAACAAGTTATATGTGGTTCGTAGGTAGCACCGATGGTTGTATCTCCCATATAGTGACTCGGCTGAGGTTTATTTTGTTTTGCTTCCTCACGACGTAGCAGCTCGTATTCATCGGTGAGTTCCATCAACTCATCTACAGTTCTGAAATCAGTTCGTCGCACGTACAACTTATATTCACACCTTAAACCATCGTAAATTCTGTCAGTATGGTTAATTTTCCTTAATTCGGGATGTTGTCGGATTAATGTTTGCAATGTCATTATATAATCTTTTGCCTTTTCTCTTGGCCCTTGTTTACGATGGTAGATTGCCTCCTCTAAATGTGCCAAGTGCCTCTTCGGAAGGAAAAATCGAATTGCCTGTTCTTTAAATATTTCCCATGATTCGATTTCATTCCTTTTTACTCGGTACCACTGAAGTGCGCGACCTTTCAGGATTTCTAAAAGTGCGAACAGAAGTCTACTTCTGGAAAAGTTGTAGCATTCAGCTAACTCTTCCAGCCGTTCTATGAACTCCATTAGGTGCTCATCCCCTTCGTAGGTTAAGTCCCATCGCCGGATGGTGGACATAACCTCACTATCACTCGGTGAATTCTGAGTTGTATGACCGGGTGTCTTAACTGGGACTGGTAGTACCAGGCCTTCGTTTACAGGTTTCCTGTCTTCTGCCAAGACTTCCTCTTCCAACGCTCGAAGTAAGTTTTCAGATGAAGCACGCTCTCTTTTCTTCCGAATCAACTCTCCCAGTAAACGTCTTAGTTGATCGACTGTTGCCCCTTCCGTACTTATACCATTCTGGTGGCAAACTTCGACAAGCTTGTCCTTTCTTAAGAGGTATATCCATCCGATCGATTCCGTCTGTAGATAATGGCTATTATGGTGGTAATTCTTTGGATCCGCTCCGC